TTGGGAATTTTTAGTTGACAGGTACTTGAGGGTCAATAAATAAGCAAGGCAGAGTGTTTGGTTGTCAAGGCAGGTGGGGAATTATTACCATAATCATCATATATGCCCCCCACATTAAAAACATCGTAACTCTGCCTGAAGTTGTATTTCTTTGTTTACAATTGGCTATCTGTGTCATCGGGGCAGTAGGGTAGCCTTGCAAAGTGTTCGCCCGTTTTGATTTGATTCCCCACATGGGTACAATGCGTGAAGCCCATTTCTGGTGTCCCCCACCATGATGTTGCTGGAATATTTGCTATTACGAGAGGCGTAAAACTCGCTCGCTCACTCTCAGTGTCATACCTCTAGTTAATAATCAGTTTTTAGTTTATATATTTATCAATTCAGAACTATATTTTTTACAGGATTGACTCTGATTGTGTGACTTAAAAGTAGCAATAACTTCTTCTTGAAAGATATTTTTGAGCGTCATACACCCATCTGTCTTTGAATCCTCTAAGCCTTTTCAAGCAGATGTAGCTCAATTTTCTGATACTGTAGTTCTCTAGCACTGTAACTGTTCTGAGATTCTTAAGGGAAAACCTTTTTTTTCTCAAAATGGAAATCTGAATATTTCATACATATTCATGTTCCTTTGAATGTTCAAGTGATTTTTGCTTCTTTTCTTCATCAAGCAGACAATGTTACACAGCCAGTTGATATTAAATCACTGAAACCTGGATCACACCCGCCGTTTTCTTCAGACAACACATTATTAATTTTTCAGGTTTTTTTTGACTGACAGTGACAGATTCCAAAAAACTCAATAGGAAAATAACATCAGAGTCTTTGATGTCCTTTTAATAAGTTACTTTAACTTTAGCAAATTAGAAGAAGAGATACAACTAGGAAACTATAACTAAAAGTCGTAGTTCACTTTAAAGTATATATTTATTGAATGCATTGTATATTTTAAGGCAGTCTAAGTAAACTTAGGCTCAGTATTATTCGTTACACTGCTATACTGAGTCTAACAAAACCTAGTAGAAGGTTGCGTCAGCTAACCTTTTGGACTGACCAATCAGAACACAGCTTACCAAATCACGAAAGTTAACATTCGCACATACCGTTTGAACCTTTACCACAAAAACTCCAACGATTCCGAATGCTATTTTCCGCATGATCGCTTCCGAGTTATACACGCAATGAGTCGCTGAAAATAGCGTTTTTGTCAATATTCAAGGATTTCATCTTGCAAAAATATAAGCAAATAGTAACCATGTCATTAGAAACCCATAAGCGTATATACTGCAGGTCAATTATCTGTGTTTTATGCGGATTTTCGTTTGTTGATAGATCAGTGTCAGCGAACAGGGAAGAGAAAATCCCAAAACAAGTTTTGTAAATCCCGCGCGAAATCAAACAAGTGGTCATTGTCTGATTGGTTAAATTCGTTTGGCCGTCTCTCGTTTGATTGGACGGTCATAGGTCGCTCAAAGGTTAGCTGACGCTAGGTTTTGTTAGACTCAATATAGCAGTGTAACGAATAATAGTGAGCCTAAGTTTACTCAGACTGATTTTAAGGCCGTTGTAAACACCTTTCTCTCATAACAGACATCTGTTAACATATTTAATATCTTGAACCTAAAGTAGATCTTTTTACCTTCTTATTTGACTAAACTATACAACTATGTTATTAATGAAATGTAACAATAAATTGTGTTGTTGTTTTTTTTTATCAATTTACCTAAACTTTTATTGTTAGTAAACGTCTGTAAGCAATAAAATATAATGTAATGTTGGCGTTTTTGACAGCCGAAAATATGCACTGCATACAACTCCTAACATCTGGCAAACATTCTTGTCATTAGAATGAACAGAAAAGATGATCGAGTTGCCACAATGGTTGACCTGACTGATCATGTGCTGGTTGTTCCTTAAATATGTCTCCACTGGTGTGCCAGGACCAGATGTGATCATTATTGTTTATATTATGTAGAGTAACACAATACCCACTCACTCATTCAAGAAAGACCTTAGAATAACTGGGTTACAATTGGCCTTCCGATGAGCAACCCATGCTTGTCGTAATAGGCAATTCATCGTATCCCAATTGCATATATCGGTGCTCATGATCTTAATCACTGGATTGTCTGGTCAAGACTCAATTATTTACAGACTGCCATCATATAGCTGGAAAATTGTGGGTGCAGCATTAAACAACATACATTCAACAAAACAAAACAGCTTAACTGAACCAAGAATAGTTTCTCTTTGGGTCAAGTCTCTGTGATAATACCTTTATTTGTTCTTAAAAAACAAAATTTGTTTTAAATTTGGGAGTTGTTTGAGTCCTCAAGATATATTGATGTTTTCTTTGAGTTTAGGGACTCTGTCATTATTATGGGTGTTGTGACAAGGATTTTCATGCTGAATTTAGGTCACTGAAGTGATTTTGAAAATCTTTGAAATATCCAACCATATAAAATATTTTCTAGTCAATTCAATTTTTCCAATCACACTAAGTAACCGTAGGAAATTCATTCCATTATTTGGATCGTGATAAATGGAAGCAACATGCCAAATCTGAAACATTTATCAACTTTGTGATGAGGGTGTAATTTGTTTTTCAATTCATGAACAAAATCTACAGCTGCAGCATCAGCTTCGATTGATAATGGTCAGTACTCGATGTGTCAGTGCTTTGTATTTTAATCCAGAATCTAGGTGCGTCTTAACATTGATATTATGTAAATCCAGAATTTAATTAAGTGTGGCGAGTTTTTATAGCAGCCAAACCCTGTGGTGATAAATAATGCATACAATTAATTGTGCGACACTGAAATCCTGAAGTGCCATAAAGTGAGAAATGTGCTGGAGAGAATATTTGCATTAATGTCTGACTTAATAGGCAGGGGAAATCACTCTGTTTATTGGAGGTTAATCCCTTGTACTGGCCTCCGAAACCCTTCAAAGTTGCTGAAGAATTAATCAGGGCTATTTAAGGAGCAATAAATCACTGGTTTGTAGATTGTTGAAACTTAATCACTGTAATAATGGTCTGTGTAAAGTCTTTTCCATACATTATGTTGTATTTTAGTCATAATTTATGTATCATCATATCAGTACCACCCGTTTCATTTACTATGGCATTTGGATATCTTAGAAACGTAGGAGGCACAGTGGAAGTTCCTGTTCATAATGGGGTGGTGGGGTAGCCTAGTGGTTAAAGTGTTTGCTCTTTGTGCCGAAGACCCGGGTTCAATTCCCCACATGGGTACAATGTATGAAGCCCATTTCTGGTGTCCCCTGCCATGATAGTGCTGGAATATTGCTAAAATTGGCATAAAACTACACTCACTCACTCACTCTGGTTCATAGTTATTTTTCACGTTGCCAGGATCTGCTATCCTGGGTTAAATCTTGGTTTGGCCTATCCCATATTGTCCTATCCCATATCCCATATCAATGAGTGAATTATTGTTTAAAGTGGTGTAATATCCAACTCAATCACTCACATGTTTCCAGAGAGTCTGAATAGAAAAGGTCTAAGATCAGTGAAAGAATGTATCTTAACCGCAAACTTTACTAACCCAGATGGGATAACATGAAAGGACACTTCCTATTTTGCCAAAAATTCTACTTTCCTCCCCCGTTTGAGACATGGTGGGGTAGTCTAGTGGTTAATGCGTTTGCTTGTATCGCCCAAAGACCTGGGTTTGATTCTCCACAGGGGTACAATGTGTTTCTGGTTTCCCCGGTGTGATATTACTGGAATTTTGCTGAAAAGCGGTGTAAAACTCAATCTTCACTCACTACTTGCCCCTTTTGATGCCCATGAGACACACTTGCTCAGGATTATGGGCAAGTGAGTAGGTCTTCATGGTATTATCTGTATGCCGCCATACACTTTGAAAAGGATACAAATTGCAATAATTTTTATGTGTACTGATATATTCTGTAAATATCCTTTTGGATGAGGTTTAAAGCTAAACAGACTTCATTCACAACTTGTGTTTCCCTCCATAGTTCATTGACAAAGCTGTATATTTTGCATACTATAACTGTGTGAAAAGGGAAGAAAGAATCTCTAACAGTCCGATCTAAATTTGAGATTTTGTTATCAGGTGAGGTGAGGTGATATTGGGTTTAACGTCGTGCTTGAGAATATTTCGCTCATATGACAACGTGCATGCGTGTGTACTTATGTGTATGTATGGCTGCTTTTACTAGCCCAGACTTAAGCTGGTTTTATAGTGCTAACCCACTGAGATACCATGCTGCAGTGAAGCATGAATACCCCACTCAGACACATTATACTGACTCCGAGCCGACCAATCCTTGTTGTACCCATTAATGCCGAGCGCCAGGCAGGGACCAACAAGTACCATATTTTAACGTCTTTTAGTATGACGCGGTCGGGGATCGAACCCACGACCTTCCGCTCTCTGGGCGGATGCTCTAACCACTACACCACGGAGGCGGTCTTTTGTTATCAGAACCATAACATAATATTTTCAGGGCTTAGAAGATAGGATCTGCATATACAGTCAGTGTCACTCACAGTCAAACACTTAACCTCCGATATATATGCTTATCACAATACAGAGACCTGTATCTCAGTATCTTGCAATACAATGTATTTGCTTATTATCACACATTATTAGTGACAGTTTGCATACTGACAATTCCATAGAACAAACTACAGAAAATGATGATGATGATGATTGGTGCACACCATGTATGTGAGTGATTGTTCAAACCTAACACTCCTTATGTTGTCAAATATTTTGTTTATTCATTCAAGTTGGAATACCAAATTTAGCCAACTGGTTTGGATGAAGAGGATTGGCCCCCAGCTTTATGTCCGTACTATTTGTTGACAAAAAAACATTACTGAGCTCTATACACAGCAATATCATGTATGCTTCCTTCAGGTCTGGGACTCAGTAGGCATCAAGCATTGATGGTCTTGTAACTCAGCTCTTAAACTGACTAATGTTGCTTTGTTTTTGTTGCAGATGCAAAGAGTTACCAAAGATAAATGTCTGGATATTATGAACAAATTTGAACCTTCAAAGGAAGGACGAAGGAAAGGACAACTTGGCATTGATGGTAAGTCCATTTTCTGATCATGGTCAATAGCAGTGTGTGGGACCTGGTATATTAAGACTTGTGAAGACACTGCTCAGAAACATTGTTCCATCCATCCGTCCACACAGACTCCACCACCCCACCAATACCACTCCAACCTATACTAATAGTCCCAGTAGTTTCTTTCATAGTGTTCTTGGGCCCACTTTTTGTCAAACACTGTTCACAAAGTGGCCAACCATTCCCTAGTTTTTACCAGCATGTTTTCCTTCCATTTGTTGCTAACACAGCCCACACCTCCTCCTAATTCTTGCTATGTCACTGCATCTTAAAACTTCCACTTACCAACTGGAATAAGATCCAGCAACTTGGCAAGAGGCAATGACTTTCACGTTACGCAACCAGTGACATTTCTCAATCCAGGTTATTGCTTCAACCTTTAATGCTACCTTTGTGCATCATTTATGGCTGGATCATGATTCAGTATTTCCTGCAGAATTTATATCGGTTGCCATTTACTTGCTTCAGTAACTCACCCTAAAAAGAGGAGGAAAAATTGTTCTGGATGAAGAAGAAAGATGACTGAAATTGTATCAGCCTGTATCTACATCTGTTAATACTAAGTTATGTGACCATTGTCTTCAGTTTGTTACGTATATAATGGCGTTGTGTAAGTCTGTACGAGTTGATGATCGGTGATAGCTTTGGGCTGTTAGTGGTGACAAATTATCACCCTGTGACTGGGTTGCCTCGGTTGGTGATGGCGACATTGTCACCTTGAGGATCGCGATTGACACAACCATGGTGTTCCAAGTGGATGTAGATGACGTTGAATGACAGGCTGATGTCTTTTTACCAGCCCTTGGTGCCAGAGCTAATTTTAAATGACATGATGGTGGTATTTTATTGATTCTCTCAGCTAATTTCAGATGTTGAATGATGGTGTTGAGTAGCGTTAGCGTTCAGATGGCGATGGCGATGATGAAGTTGATGCTGAAGGAGATGTAGCTGTCATGGTTGCTGATGTTGGTATCCTCCTTTCTTCCATATCTTGTGGGCATTGGCCTGTCTGCTTGTATCGGTCGTCATCATGGTTTACGAAAGCTACTTCAGACTTCATAACTCACATTGACAGTTGAACTTGAGAAATTGTCTCTCATTATGGTTGGGGAGAAATTGATTCATCCAAAATGTTCATGGTCTTTCATCTTTAGTGGCATGTGGTACTGGAAGGGCAGTAAATGCTTACCATTTTGAAGAAACACAGGGCATCATCACAGATTTTCAGCAATCCCTTCATCTAATTTTCACCTCTCTTGCCTTTTATGCCCATTGGAATCTGTTTTTGCATGATGAAAGACACTGGGTATTCTCTTGCTTTGTTTTGTATTTAATATTTTGTTATGCAGATCTATTTAGTAATAACTGACTAACAACTATAGACAACAATACTGAAACATCTAGATCATTAGTGAGCATAGCAAACTTAAGTGCTACACAAAGATCATGGGTAGCTGATTAAATGCCTCCAAATTACTTGCGATATATTTATACCAGAATAACTGCAATTTTCAGCAATTGATATCAATATGGTTCCATCTGCACACAATCATCACGTCAATATAGGCATCATGTACATTAGTCCCACAACATACATGAAATGTTTGAGTAAATTTGTTCCAAATGATGACCTCAATCATCTTTAATAAGCCAATGAAGCCGGAGGTGTGCTTACTCTACCTCCTTCACTGGGAAGATGCATCTAATGCATCATCAAATGGATGTTTGATTTCTGTATAGAAAGGGCAAACAGCCCAAGAAAGGGCAGCCCACTTTTCCTCTACACCATCTCTGTGGTAGAAGCAGCCAATTGAAGACCCATGTGGCTGTCATGATTAGTTCTGTGATGGGATATTGCCATAGGTTCGACATATTTGTGATAAAATGTGTGCTGATAGGGGAGCAGGGGTAAATACATCCCAAATAGGACGTAACGTTCTTGAATTGATTTGATGTTGCTGGATGGAAGTTAATGTGCTGTAGATCTCAGACTATCGGTTGAACTGACGTGAAATGTAAACCTGGGTGCGGAGAGATGGACGACAGGAGAAGAAGAATCATTGATTGCTTTTCAAATAATGCAGTAGTTTTAATGAAAGGAGGTAACTGTAATGTGTGTTTAACATTTTTGGCTGGTGGTGTGGATAAAGGAGATCTATTTCTGGATGTGAAGAAGCTGTTTTTATGTTGAACTTGTGTATGAATGAGAGAGAAGATGATTTGTAGCGTGAAACCTTCTGTTGCTGCATGCTGTCTGTAAGTTTTGAAAGTTAATTAAACAGCAGATCCAGTTGGGCAAGTGAGAAAAGACTGAATGTAAGAATATTATAACTGAATGTAAGAATATTATAACTGAATGTAAGAATATTATATGTAGACAGGCATCTGCCTGATGATCCTGATGAGTTTGTAGCAGTGCTGGACATGTCCAACATCCCAGACTTCATTTGTTTGGGCAGACAACCAGACAGGGCAGTCTAGGACTGGCAGCTTTCAGATATTGATATCATGTAGATGATTGTTGCTGACCCCTCAAACTCCCTGTCTACCTGGTGCCAATCTCACTACTCATGATTATCTATTTATTATTATCTGAGGTAGGAGTGATTTGTAAACGTTTGACATCTTGAGTAAACGATATGAGATTCCTCATATTAAATTGACAGCAAAATATGTGATATTGATAAATTTTTAAATTTGAGTACAGTTAAATCTCATCAAACATTAATCTTCAATGACTGTGGAAATTGGTTTTGTGTACAGTGAAAAGCACTTCAATGCATTTACTGTTCTCAGTGAAAATTTCCAGTTTAACAAATGTCTGAAATTTTGTGTATGGATGTAGGCTGTCATCATGGATGACAGTGAGGATTCCAGATAAACAGGGTTCTGTTTTACATGTTTCAATCTGCAATGTGAGTCCAAGTCTCCTGTAGATGGGGCGGTGGGGTAGCCTAGTGGTTAAAGCGTTCACTCGTCACGTCGAAGGGCCTTGTTCGATTCCCCACATGGGTAAAATTTGTGAAACCCCCTTTCTGGTGTCCCCTGCCATGATATTGCTGGAATATTGCTAAAAACGGTGTAAAACCATGCTCACTCATTCTCTTGTAGACCACAGAACATATAGTTACTTTCGTTCCCAAAGCAGCCCACTTTTCCACTTGTCTGAAATTATCCAGAGACTAGTTGTAGTGATCAAATCGCTGACAATGCAAGGACGATAGTAATGTGCATACTTTAACATAGGCTTAGACAGTCCTAGTGCTATAATAGCTTTGTGGAAAGTGCCGATGGAGTCTAACTGGATAAACCAAACATCTTAATACAGACATCAATCTTCTCAAAGTAGTACAAATATGAAGAAATGTCTTAGCAAAATCTTCAAAATGTATGTATAATTTCAACACTAGCACACGCCAAACTGTTTTTGCAATGATTTTTCAATGATCATCAGTTGTGTATTGAGGTTTCAGTAATATGTCAAGTGAGCCCCCACTATCTACACCAGCCAGGCCTATGGAAGCCCTGTCAGGGATCAATATGTGATGATTTACTGGACCTCTTCTACAAAATAGGTCACCGTATCTTTTTATAAACCAGCATCCTGTGAGTTCCCAGTGCTTCCCCCTTTCATTCAGCATCCCCCCCTTGTATAGCATCGCCTCAGAGTCGATCCTAAACCCAGTTTGCTTTGGGGTTCAACCTAAGAAAAGGCGAGATCAATAGAGAGTTAGTTGTCAGCCAAATCAAAACGAGGAAAATCATCAGGTCCTGCTGTATGGTTTAATGAGACTGAAAAGGGTGAAAACTGAAATAGACGTGCCTGCTTTCATATTCAGGTCCTTTGGTAATGCAGTAAGTCTCCATTGCGTGACAGCGCCAATGGATGCAATTGGAGAGATTGGCATGAAGATTTAATGGACAAGTTGATGCATGCTTGACTAGATGAATGAACAAATGAATGGATGGAAATAGGAGTGAATAACTGAATAGATAAATGAATGGGTGAATGAATGACTAAACTCTGGCAAAGCAAGATTTCATTACCAAACGGACATGGGGAGATTTCTCTGTTAGATACACACTGTATTCATGAGATGGCTTACTGTTACGTCTTCATGGTAGTGAAAACTTGATTAGAATGAATATTCACCCTTAGGTTTATAGACAGATGAGCCCAGGAGTTCAGGTGCAGAATAGAACCCCATGTGAGTCCATTAGTGTTGTAAAAAGTCAACTAAAATGTGGATCTGACTGTCACAGTTGCAGCAATAATGTACAATTACATGATGCAAGTTCCTACTTGTTGTGATGGATGAACATTGGTGTATGTTTTTGGTCCATGTGGGGATTCTGAGAGCGGTTGGTTTCAGTTTGTGACCTTGGTGGTGATGGTCATTTTGACTAGATTGTATAGATCCATGATGGTTTGGCTGGCTCAGACTGGATTGTTTAAAGGTTGTTGTGTTGTTCTCACTCATATTGTACTGACTACACTTTTGCCTTAGATGTTGGGTTTCACGCAAAGAATACGTATTTCAAACTCTGTCTGTAACGTCTAAACTGGAAAACAGAGTACTCTACTTTATGTTCAGTTTAAATTTCTCTGCTTTTTCCCTCAGCTGTAATTTTCAGTTTCTTAAGTTTACATTGGCTTTCTTCTACATGGTTGTCTTAGTCAGTTGGTCTATATTTTTCACCTTCATTTTGACATATTTACCTAAAAGTCTTTCTTCAAACCAGCCCCAAAAAAAAAAAACCCAAACAAAAACACTGCCAAATGATCTTTTGTTGTTGTATAAGAAGATACTCTAGTCCTTATCAAACGTGCAGACATTTTCCCTAGAGGAAAGAAAGGAGACCTATCTGGCTATCTCCTGTCTCATAGCTCTGAGTGTGCAGTCACATCTACATATTCAAGTGGAGGGTTATTAGGGGCTTCTATCATGGGATCAAGAGCT